CTAGCGGGACTGGCCTAAGGGATTTTAAAGGGGTTTTAATTACTTTTAATTGGACATATTTAAATATTTCGTTTTAATCAAATTTTAATCAGGTATAATATGTATATATGTTAGTATTTTATCTAATTGTCAGCCGCCCTGAGTCCGTAAGGAGAAGGGCGGGATATAAATGTAATTAATAAATAAATAAATAAATAAAAACTCATTATTTGATTAAATCTATATATAATGTAGGAGAAAAAAGAAAATACAGGGAATAGAAAGATTATGCAGGTTATAGAAGAGAGCTGGTACCAAATAAAAAGAGAAGTCAGGAAGACATACATGCTGCCTAATTGGGGTCATGCAGCATTTTTTAATTTTGGCAATTTTCAGATGTGTGGACTTCAGCTCCCAGAATTTTCAGCATAGCCAAGAATTACAATTTGTCTTTAGATAACAGCACAGTTACCTGGCTAATGAGGTGATTTATCTGTACGTGGTAGAATTAAAGCCTGTTCTTATCACATTTAAATAACATCTGGGTTAATAGTGTCACCCCATCATTCGCCTTGGTGTTGGTTTTATGCTCATTTTCTGTAAACCTCTGGGATTTACCAAGTTAATTAGTTGCTAAATAAATAAGTAAACAAATAAACAAATGGTTAATTCCAGCTACTTCAAAAATATTTGGTGAAGTGCAATTTACATTACATTTTTTATGATAAGGATCAATATTTTTTTCTATTACAGTGCAAACTAGACTATCAAGCCTGTGCCTCAGGAAAACATATCTCAGCTAAATGTGAAGGACGCTGTCCTTGCCTTTCAGAAAAGTCCACAAGTGCAGGCAGAAGTGATAAGAGAGGTAAGTTTTGATGTTCATGTTAGATCTCTCAGTTACTTCAGCAAATGGTATGTCTTCAAATAAAAAAAATTGAGAAGTAATTAATGACCTATTTCAACAGCTAAATGACTCTTCACTTTAAAGCCTAGCTTATAAAGATAAATAGAATTGCTTATTTGAAACTCTACTTGTTCTAAGTGTTTAGAGAACACCAAGAGATTTTAGAACCGTAGGCTACACAGGGTAGTTAAAAAGGATCTCTGAAGAAGGCAAAAAAAATAATAACATGAGTGTTGCCATATTTAACACCCAGACTTGGAAGTAAATCCTAGATCTCTAGGCACTTAACTCAGACTTAGCAGAACATTTCCGTACACCATTAGCTAATTTAAAGTCTTTATTGCAGGCAAGCCTTAACAAGTTACTGGATTACTCACTGCAGAATATTTGTGTTCCAGCATATAAAATTTTGGCTTCTTCTTTCTGCCTTTCTAATTGATGGATACTTGGCCAGTTTGCCTGGTACCATTGGATGGCTGAGCTATCCAGATAACAGTTGTCTCTTAGCCTGGTTTGTTCAGTGCTAGTTTAAATCATTACTGATATATCCATGAAGTCACCATAAACCACATTAGATGTAAAATAGTCTTTACTTGTATCTTTATCTGAAAGCAATATAGAATCAAGGGTTTGTTGGCATATTTTTAATAATTATACACCATTTTGCTAACTGTTTTGGGAAAAAAGCTGTTATCAACAAATATATTAATATCCATATATTAACATTTGACATTCTTTTTTAATAATAATTTTATTAAAGTTTACAAATACAAATAAAAACTAATACAGACTAACAAAAATATTAAAAAGTAAAGAAACACAAAAATGCAAAAACTGAAAAAAGATAAAAAAGATACATAAAAAAATGACATTCCGCTCCTTCACACATGCTCGAGTATTTTAATAATAATAAAAAAAAACCTCTGGTTCCTCTGATATGTTATGGCTTTTCTGTTGCTTCTTGGCAACAGAATATGTGAAGTTGCAAATTCATTTTCATATGGAGAAAGCTTGGGGGTTGCGTGATGTTGGTACAGGCTCACTGACATTAGCCTGAATAACTGGTTGATAAGTTTTATCATCACTTCTGTATTTATCATGGCTCTTTTGTGGAGGCAAAATTGTCCCAGAACTGCTTATGGACCTTCATGCATTTTCTCCCTTCTAAGCTTTGCTGTCTCTTATGATAGTAGAATGGTACATGTCTTTGTTAGTTCTGACAACATGACTTTAATTTAATCCAGCTTTCAGTAGTCTCAGTATGGGAATTGGGCCAAATCAATATTTAAAGGTTCCTATGCAAATTTTCATTATTCAAAAAAGGAGATGCAATCAATCAGAATAGAGCTGGAAGGGACCTTTAAAGTCTTCTAGTCCAGCCCCCTGATCAAGCAGGAGACTCTATACCATTTCAGACAAGTGGCTGTCCAGTCTCTTCTTAAAAAACCTTGAATGATGAATCACCCACAACGTCTAAAGGCAAGCTGTCCCACTGGTTAATTGTCCTCACTGTTAGGAAGTTTCTCCTTAATTCCAGGTTGCTTCTCTCCTTGATTAGTTTCCATCCATTGTTTCTTGGCTTGCCTTCTGGTGCTTTGGAAAATAAATTGACCCCCTCCTCCTTGTGGCAGCCTCTGAAATACTGAAATACTGCTATCATGTCACCTCTAATCTTTCTTTTCTCTAGAACTGGTCAAACTGAATTCCTGCAACCGTTCTTCATGTTTTAGTCTCCAGGCCCTTAATCATCTTAGTTGCTCTTCTTTGCACTTTTTCCAATCTACATCTACATCTTTTTGTACATCTACATCTTTTTTGTAATGTGGTGATCAAAACTGGATGCAGTATTCCCTGATGTGGCCTTACTAAGGTTTTGTAAAGCGGTACTAATACTTTACATGATTTTGATTTTATGCCTATTTTCTCTGAGCCATGCTCTTTTTGTGTGTGTGGCTTCCTAGCTTTGTGCCGTGTTCTAATTCATTTAACGGGGTATCACAAGATCAGTGATGAGATTTCCACGCTCACCTCTCCAGGAAGAAGCAAAGCTTGCTAAACTGCTTTGGCAACTTTCTAGGTATCACAGGAAAATTCAGCAGTCTTAGATTACAAAGCTCCAGTACTATGTAAGGCTAAGTCAGTGTTAATTCCCCTGAATTCTGCACATAATAGCTTAAATTTTGCCAATGGTTTCTACTTAACTTGCCACATTATCAAAGCTAGTGATAAGGGGAGATACTTCTAAACAGAGCAAGCACACTAGTTATTTATGCCAAAACTCCTGGCACCAAGGAATCAGATGAAACTCTCCCCAGCAAGTCAGTAGATACTTTTTGACATCATATCAAGACTAATTATTCATTCCAGCAAATTAGTAGATACTTTTTTGGCATCATGCCAAGAGTGATTATGTAGGAGACCATATGGAAAAACAAGAGCTTACTTTGATAGCTCTTTGGAAATTTTATTCAAAAGGTGGAATAGGTTGCTTCCTCAACTGGTTTAATACAACTAAGGCTCTTTGCTGTACAATTTAGAGTTTCTGTACTGTTCTTTGTCCTTGCTATCTTTAAAAAATACACATTTCAAGAACTGATTGTGGTAAAACTTGTACCATGATATCAAAGAATCTATTTCCTCTTCTAGTTTCATCCAACCCTGCGATTAAAAACAAATAGAAAAGTTGTAGAAATATTTTGTGTTTCCCACATAGCTTACAGCAGAATTCTTCAAATTTCGTGCTGCCTCACCTTGCAAAATGATAACTGAATTTGTACAATCCCCACATCAATAAAATAAAACAATAACTAAATAAATGTGTGTTTCCCCGAAAGCAAGACCTACCCCCCAAAATAAGCCCTAGCTTGATTTTTGGGGGTGGGCCTAATATAAGCCTTACCCCCAAATAAGCCCTAGTTTTGGGCAAGGTGCAAACCTAAAATCAAGCTAGGGTGGGGGTGGAGCTGCCCCACATGCCCGCACCCACTTACCATTGCAGCCAGGCCTCCTGTGATGACCCAGGGAACAGCACAGAGGCAATGCAATCAGCTGGCAATTCAAACCACCCTTTAATTGCTCCAAATTTTCCCCAAATGCTCCCACGTTTCTGGCAAGCCCCCAAACAACGGAAGACACACACCTCTGGCTGCAAGTAGTTTCACATACAGTCTGATTTAGGAGAGGAATTTACTCAAGGTCATGGAGATAAGAGAGAATGACACATACATCATAAACCTAACGAGTCTGTGTGAATACACACTTTCAGAAGGGAAGCCAAAATACAGTCCGAGTTCTTTAAACATCCAAGTAACGTTGTCAGCCAGTCCAACGGTCAGAGTTTCCGGGTTTCCAAGCAGAAGTCACAGAACAAGAAATCAGCAACAACACACACAAAATTCCAAGGAATCAGCGTTTGTTCCCGACAAATGCCTCTCCTCACAGCATCTCTTTAAATCTCATTCTCCAGGTGTGCCTTGTGGAGAGGGGCGGGGCGCTCTCCTCCCAAGTAATTGAGCCTGCCTGCATTGTTCCCTCCTTCTCTCCACTCTCCGTGCTCTAGGATCAGGTGGGGGTGGTCCTTGCTCATTGCCTGAACTCTGTCTCTCCTGTTCAGCCTGTCCCACTCCTGAAGGACCCTGGCCTGCCTCTGCCTGCTCTTCCTCACATTCCTCTAAGCCACAGACACCTCTCCCTCAATCTCCATAGGGTTCAGTTCCAGCTTATTGTCCTCTGCTTATTCAGGCTCCAACAGAGGCATGACACCTCCCACCTGCCTTGTCTTGCCAGCCCACTTCTTCTGCGCTGCCCCCCAGCATGCATTTTGCCATCAGAGGTCTTCCAGAGGGCTATTGTAGCTGAGAACCAAGCTACGGATTCAATCTTACTAAATAAGTAATGGAGGAAAGAGTAGCCCAGGCAAAATGACTACAAGGCTTCAGACTGTTTCTGCTTTATCTGGACAAGTCTAAGTGTGTGTGTTTGTTTGTGTGTGTGTGTGTGTGTGTGTGAAAGAGAGAGAGAGAGAGATCTAAGTTGCAAGTTTTTTTCTTTAATAATAAATCTCAGAGTGGTTTTAATCAAATTGACTTCCTCAAAGCTAAGTCTGTCAACTCAGATTGAATCATGTCCTTTCTATGTTTCTAATTTCCAGCTCAAATTGAATAAGAACTGATTCTTATAGGCATAGCCATAATTATTAAAGGTCCATTTAGCAATGCCTTTCTTTTTACGAATGCTTAAGATTTTTTCTTCTTTTTTTTCTTTTTTCTTTTAATTTTCAGAGAGAGAACACGTTTAATAATCATCCCTTGCCTTTGTAATTCTGTTGATTGTTTAATAAATCTAACAGCTCTAATTATGGTAAGATGACATATTCTACAACCTAATGTTGTATTAATCTTTGCAATTAACTGCACCATGCTTGTCATTTTAAAAAAAGAAATGGTTATAGTTGAATAGCTAATGCTGAATATAACGAAGATACAAGTTTAACCTTAAAATTAGATACATTTTGTCCCAGTTATTTTCTGAAATAAGCTGAGTGGCAGCAAAATACATAGATTGCATGGACTCAATTTATTTTTGACACTTAGAAATTTTAAATGTTCACAGTACCCTTTTGTTTTTGTACAAATGTATAATTACACATATAGGGAATTCCTATTATGTCATATTTCTAAACTGTCAGGGAATAATATTTTCACATTGAAACCTATTCTAATCTATTTGTCCTGACCAGAGAGCCCTCAGATATATTTGAGTTCAACACTTACTAGTTTGATATGGTGGATGCTGCATTTATTTATGTTTATACTAGAAAAGTCCATACAGTGCATTTTAACAAGACAAATCTGAATCTAGCATTAATAACTTAGATAAAAATCTGTTTTTAATGGCAGAACTATTTTTTCTAATAATCTAAAGTAGCAACAGAACTTTTGAACTGTTTTCAGTAAAAGCTA